GTAAATGTCGCAGGAGGAGGAGGAGGAGGAGGCAAACGCGCCCTCCTCGTGGCGTGGAACAGTCAGAATTGAAGTTGGAAAGGTAATTAAGAGGTAGAAACACGACAAGAAATAATTCAGCCTCGGCTTAACTAACGAGGGTGATTATATCTAAAAATCTTTTAACTAGATCCAAAGTCGCACTGTCGATGCAGAACGTATCCGTGAGATGCGATAATTTTGGATACACAATGGGTATATGTGGATAGTTATCTACGGCCATTAGCATTTAACTTCCATTTTGTCGTTCCGCAACTAATAAATCGGATCAGCATCAAAATTGTCTTCCTCCGCTAAATGAAATTTGATGCGTTTTTTTTTGTGAAGAACAAAAGTTTAGCCTTGTACTTACCATTAGTACAATTTGCACGTAACTATTTATTGAATTAAAAACTTGCGATGAATAATAGAATACAGCACCTTCAGCGTTTGCAAACCGTCTAATTGTTAACTATTATCAGCAAATACCTCAGTCAGGAGGCAGAGCAAGGCGGAGAAAGGGCAACCAACCACTTTTATTTCCCTAAGCGAACGTAAATAAAAGTAGAAATGACCGCCCATGCAAGCGTCTGCCTACGCTCCTCGCTTGACTGAGTATGGTCGATTCACCAATGCGGTCTGCCATGAGATTGAGTAGAAAAAACGACTTGACACTCCTTCTTGACTTGTTTTTCTACCTACACCCTTACTTTGCAAAAGGTTTTCTCCTAAAGTGAATAAAAACGCTCAAATTACCTTACAGTATAAATGAATATGCAGTGGTATGAATAACAACATCGTAGATGCCTTATTGTGGCAGAACTTCGGTAAAATGCGCTTTTGGAACGCGAACCTTCCAAACGATCCGTTAGCAAACCAAACAGCCTACCTTATTTTTTCTTACAAGTATTGTTACATAAACCATATTTGAGTCGCTATTTTCCGGTCCTTGTAGTTGGTCATTCGGGAAACGGAGAGATTTTGTTCTAAACAAAGGTAAAATTTGCTCAAGTAAATTAAGTGAACCGAATTAGGAGGTCACTTTCGTTCATAAAACAACCTTTTGTTTTAGTGATGAATGCGAGGTGTTGGGTGGTGGCGATTTAGCCTGCGCATCAAAGAGTTTGGAGGCAAGACGAGTGCCGCACATTTTGTCGGTGGTGCCTGCGCTATTTGTGTTGTTGCTGTCGACATCTTTGACAGCGTCTACTGCAGTCAAGTATGGATGGTGTTGTAAACGAGACTCCTAACGGAGGTGAAATTACAATCTTATGTCAAAAGGCGGGTGTAAGGTGATCAAACACAGTTGAAAGCCATAGAAAATGCAATGAGTCATTCTGCGACATTTTACTACCCATAAAGCAGTCATATTTTTGTGAGTAGCTGTGGCGATGGAATATGTTGACGTCTTATTAATTCTCACCTTCGAATGAGCAACCCTTTTCTCCTTCGGACTGCGTTGTTGACTTTTGGATTCAAATTGCGCACTATTTCCATTTATTGCAGCGTTTGAAGAGACTGTGGTATGAGTAAAAGAAAATTCCTTTTCGTCTACACTTTTTGCTTGCAGTTCCCGTTGCTCTTCCTTCGCTGCCGTCTCCGAAATGACCGTTGCAGTCTTCTCACTCGCCATACTGACTGGTGGCCTTTGAAGAGTCTCTGAAAGCTAATGAAAAGAGAGAAGCATTTGAGCTATTTTACTGACTATTTGAGATCGTCATCTTCTTACCTCCATAGAGTCGCCTCTAGCGGCTACGGCGTCAGTTTTCTTGATGTCTTTCTGGACTTTTACGGGCCTCGGAAGAGGCTGCATTTTAAGTGGTTCAGCGACTTCAAACTCCGGCCAGTCATCGTAGGCTTGTGTACTCAAGACTGTGAGTAGGGAGGTAGCTTTCGACTCATTCTTGAGATGAGAAGAACATGTAGAAGAAGAATGTACAATGGAGGTTAAAACAAGAGATGGGCTCAATCCACTCCACAAAGATTAACAAAAGAGATAACTCAAGTTATGATTAAAAGCTAATTACAATCTCTACAAACAAACTTTATGTACGTGACAATTAAATGCACCTCCTTTAATGTGTTGTGCTCTCCCTCTTCCTCCTCTTTGCTCTTCGCCTCGGCAATTAGACGAGCCAAATTTTCCTTGGCTTTCAAAACGGCTTGTGTGTAACCTTGGCGTTTTTCAAGGCAGCTGCTAAAGACAGCATATAAGTAGACCGTTCTTAAAAGTCGTCGATAAGAAATAGAAGTAACTGCTAGCTCAAACTCGCCTAGCCTGTGGAAAGTGCTTAGCTACCAAAAAACACTGTTCAGAGTCTCGAAAATAAGGCAAAATAAGGTAACTGCTATTCGTTTATCCACGTAATTTTGACCACCGGCCTCGAGCTAGTGAATTAGGAGAATCGGACTAAAATAATCATGCAAACATAAGTCTTGAGTTAAGGGGAATTCAATATACTACCCAGTTATACCTCCTCGACAAATCCGAAGCCGTTTCAACGGTCTGAGGACGATGGAACACTTCGCTCGGCTTGTGTGGCTCCACATTCAAAACCGTTGTTGCTGGGCGAATCGAAGTTTTTGTGACATTTTTCAAGGCTTTAAAGGGATGCATTCAGTCAAGTTTATATTCCAAAAGATTTTTGCTGTGATAGTGTAGAGAGCCTTACTGTCGCATCTTGGAGCACTGTCATTCACGTAGTTGGTGGTCTTTACTTGAGCTTTTGGTTTAGCTCCCTGTGAAAAGGAAATTCGACTAAGTAGGGAGAGAGTTTGATGCATTCAAAACTATTTCCACTCCTGAATGAGCTAACGTCACTCCAATTTGCTTAGAACCTAGCTTATGGAGCTGTTACCACGATGTTTTGACTGGCATAACGAATGAAGCTGTGTGCTGATATTATATTGTGGCAATAGCATCAGAAGAGGTGATCCGAGATGAACTTTATCTCTATCTAACCATTAAAGCAAGCTAAAACAACCAACTGAGTCTCAAATTTCATATAAAGCTCACTTCTTGAGGGCTTTCTAGAACCAAATTGTTAAAGTTAACAGGGGTGTCAAAACTTTTCTTACCGCCTTCGTCAAGTGAGCCTGTGGAGTCGGTTGTGGAGGTAGTTGCACCAACACAGTTGTGGAGTCGACAGTTCCTCGGACAGTGGATCGACTCCTGCCACGCTGTGCGTGTGCCTCGAGCATGCGCTGTTTCTCCTGCAGATCCATCTGCAGGCCGCGCACTGTGGAGGCGAGCGTGGCGCATTTGGCCTCCAGATCGCGCTGTTGTCGCAGGAGGCGAGTGCGT